TTTTTTATATCATTTTAGGAAAAAGGTTCTAAATTTTGTCATGGATCAATTAAATACAGTATATCTTTCGTTGTTAATTTAATTTTACTAATCATTAATAGAATTTGTCACTCTTTAACAATTGAAATTAGTTCATGAATGGTAGCATTTATTGTATGCATATACTTACTTTTTAATATCAACAATAGAAAATATCTGAACAATGCATCGAGTGACACGTGACAAGAATGCATGCTAATGTAATTTTATTATTACAATCTTTACATTTGTACGTATTTACGATTTTTCTTTAATTTATTAATTTCTATACTCTTGTAAGAAATATGGATTTCGTATTAACATCTGTACATTGTCAATCAATCAATAAATGCGTATCGGAGTAAAAAAAGTATAATTGTTACCGGTAAATTTGATGATTTCCTTTGCATCATTGCATGTAATTAACATAGAAATTATGAAATTAGGCTCTTGGCAACTATAAATTCACATAATCAACAAAAATTTAATAAATATCTGAAAAGAGTAAATCGTATGCGGAGTTCGGTAAATACACATAATTTTAGAATTATTTTGAAAAAAAAAGTTAACCCAATTTAGAAACATTTGATAATAAACCATTTCAAAAAAAAAATTTTTCCTATTATTTCAAATAATGTAAAAAATAAAAATTAAAAATTAATATAAATAAATCTTTTGAAAGTAGTAATATGTTTTAATTATTAGTAAAGAAAAAATTCTACTAGTAATAAACCAATTAATTTAAATTAATTAATTATTATTTGATAAGATAATTGATTTACTGAATGTTTCTTCGTTTCCTATAATTGTTATCTCATTATCTTCAATAAATCTATTATCTATTTCATTGGTCTCACTACAAAAATGTTTTTTTTTTATTGTCATTTTTGATCTTATACGATTATCTAGGATATAAAAAATATAAAAAAATCTTGCCACATACGTATATTGTTGGCGTTAATAATTGTAAGTGCAATATTAACAAAACATTCACTATCATGTTGTGTAAGTTATTTTATTAAATTTTGAAAAAATTTGGTTTGTTGATCGCTATACAAATGGCAACACGACATACCACATGTGGTTTTTTTTATGTATGTTAGATTATGTATCTGCATCCGGCAAAAAAAAATTTTTACATTTGCATACTATTATATAAATATATTAATTTGAAAGTTTGACATGTACATGTACTTTTGTAAATTTCCGATTTTAAATGTGTACGTATTCAACTTGTATCGAAATGCGTGAAACCATAAAAATTAATGTCAATTTGTCAATGTATCATTATCCTTCCTTTGTATCTAAAATATTTGAAAAATCAGGTCTCTAATTGGTAATATTTTGTTTACGTTACACTATTTAATATATTGTGTTAACATGCCGTTAAACATATGTAAATAAAATTAATTTTGTGCTAAATTTATTAAATATATGAAATTACTATTCATTGTCAAATGTGTTCTTTTACAAATTCTTGTGGTAAAAACAGTAATATAAATATTGTTATCTTAAAAAATTACACATTTATCAATTCGTTCTCTTATTTGTCATTATATATGTTACATATATCGTTGATATGTTCGAAAATTCTTATAAAAACCTCCAATTCCCACTCCTTCTCTCTTCGTTCTGTCCTTAACCACCTAAATCCTACAAAATAATATACCATCATTAAATCCGCCACCGCCACCACCCTTTTCTCTCTTTAACGAGTCTCTCGAAAATGAGGTTTCAATCATTCTCGGTGGCTCTTGTGCTATTGTTATCAATAGTCACCGTTACCTCAGCACAACGTCCCACAAGTATTTCTAATGTTAAAACTACTGCTAAAGCTAAAACTACCGTCGTAGCTAAAACCACCGCTAAAGCTAAAACTACCGCCGTAGCTAAAACTACTGCTAAAACTACCGCCATAGCTAAAACTACTGCTAAAGTTACTGTTAAAGGAACTACTAAAGCAGGTACTACTGCTGGTAAAGGAACTACTAAAGTAGGTACTACTGCTAAAGTTACTGTTAAAGGAACTACTAAAGCAGGTACTACTGCTAAAGTTACTGGTAAAGGAACTACTAAAGCAGGTACTACTGCTAAAGGAACTACTAAAGTAGGTACTACTGCTAAAGGAACTACTAAAGTAGGTACTACTGCTAAAGGAACTACTAAAGTAGGTACTACTGCTAAAG